CCTCGCCTCCCCTCGCCTCCCCTCGCCTCCCTCTGCCTCGCCCCGCCTCGCCTCGCCTCGCCGCGGTTTCGTTGACCCGGCTCCTCCACGGGTAATCCAATAATTAATTATCGATCGATCGCCAATAGCCGTAAATCATCCGTCTACTCTGGCTCGCCGTGCCGCGCCGAGCCGTACCCATTGATTTCCAATTATTTATTCCGGTTCGAGGCTTCGTCCGCGGCGGCGACGCGCACCGGAAAGCTATAAATAGAAGCAAAAGAGTGACTCTCCGCCGCGCCGGTAGATCTCCAAGGGAAGATTTCGCCTGGTAAACAGACAACGCGACGACCAGTTCTCCAGGTTTGCCGAACGCGTTTGCACAGTCCACTTTGGACTCTGACTCACGCCGACCTTTCCCTCCTCTCTCTCTCTCTCTCTCTCTCTCTCTCTCTCTCTCTTTCTCGTTCCCTCGCGAGCCCGCACGCCCACGTAATATCATCTCCCTCTTCGGCCGCCAGGATAAAAGATCCTGGGAATGATCGGGACTGGTATTCGATTCCCTCGGCATCGTAAATTGGAGTAGAAATATTGGCCTGGCCATGGGGGGCCTAAAACGGCGGATTGTTAATACCGGAGCAACGAGGACCCCCTCTTAAACGGCCTGCCCATCGATCTTCGCGCCGCAATCGATCCATTAAGCAATCGGGCCGAGACTGCCTCGATCCTCCCACCGGCCGCCGGAATTTCTAAACTCTCACGATCCGTCGAAAGCGATGAAAACGGTCCGCGAGTGCTCCTCCAAGATTGTCCAATCTGGACGATCGTACAATGTCCGACTCGCGTGCCTCAACCACTCGGCATTTCTACGGATTCCACTTATCGGAACGCAAGACTTCTTGATAGAAGTAGAATAAACCACAAGTTAATTCTCTATAATACTTTCTAAAATTCGAAGTCACGCAATCGCCACTTGCATCTCTCTAGACTCGTCGCATTCGATTCATAGAATTTTATCGCTGCGACAGGTTTCTCGTTGTCGAAGGACTTCTTTATCGCTCGTAGATCCATTTACACGCAACCGTGCCGCGTCTCGGAATCGAATTAATGACTATGATTTCATATGGAACAGTTTACACGTAATCAGTGCCGTGTCCGTCATTAACCATTGTCTCCCTACACGGAACGCTCGCGGCATGGTTGTGTGTAAACGGACCTTTCGCGCGTCGCATTTCGACCGATGCGAATAAATTCTTATCGCTTCGAACGCGAACGATCTCGGATCGTTTCGCGACTTGATTTACGAGCCAGCTAAACGTCCCTAGGCTCTCGAAATTGGTGGAAAAAAGGCAGAAAAGGCGGGAGGAACCGTCGAATACGCGAGAGGCCCGAAGCGGCCTGGCGCTGCGGTAGAATAGGAGGTTCGCAGGCGCTCACGTGCGCGCCGTTAAAAAGATATTGCCCCGTTCCGCGTCGACGTCCGGCCCCGTGGCGTGGGTCCGGTGTGTGTCGGTGTATGGTTCGAACTCTCCCGCCAGTGGCCGGGGCCCGTCAGTGTCTCTCTGGTTCTCGCACGGGGAACATCATCGGAACAGCTCGGTCTGCTCGCGCCACACGGCTCCGTTCCTTGTCCCTCCGGATCACGTCGGGTGTTGGTGTCGCGGGACGCAACGCGTCGCATCGAAAGACAGCTCGGAGCCGCCGCGAGTCCGTCGGCACGACCGAGATTACCGATTAAGGACGGCGATCGTCGCGGGCTGGTCCTCGTAGGGCGCCAGTTCGACCCGTCTAAATGAGACTGTTCTGCGGCTAGACCGAAAACTCCATTCCTCCTCCCTTCTCCCTCCCTTCTAATCCTTCTCCTCATTTTTATTCTCGGTTCACCCCGCGCAGTCGAGTGACCGCGATCGAGTTCATCGGTCATGGAGCCTGGATCCTATTGGAGACTGCTGCTCTGCTGGATATGTGCGCTCGGCGCTGCTCGCGCGAACGGTGAGTTCCTACGACCAGGTGTTTCCGGGTGTTACCAGGTGTTCCGTTCGGTACGATACCTTCTCGCGATCCCAGCGAAAACCGCCGTGAAACGTACTTCGTGCCGTACGCAGTCTTCGTGGCGTCACGTGCACGCGGATCAGCGACTCCCAAGGTCGACAGACACGCTCGCTCGTCCAGAACTCGCCGCGCGAACGCTTCCCGATCTCACGGATCTCGCGTTCTATCCGTTTCCCGGAATCCCGGCTGTTCTCCCGGCTCGGGAAAATCGTGCGAACCGCGGGGAACGCCGGCTGTTCTATACGGTGTACGGCGACGCTTAGGGTAATTGCGGGCTCTTTTGTTGCCGGGTCGCGACGGAACTACGCGACGCGCCTCATTCCGGCATGAATAAACACACTTGACGATCCGGTCGCCGCAGGATCTTCGCACCGAATACGATTGAACGGTACCGGGATCCGTACTCCGGTGTGTACAGGAGCATCCGATGGAGCGGCGAGCCGTGGAGGAGAATCGTTGCGCAGCGCTTTCGCAAACGGAAAAGGAGGGATTGCGTAAGGGGTCTAATAATACCGCGCGAAAGCCTCGAGACCGGTGCAATTTAATCGCGAACAATAACGCCACCGTCGGATGAATCACACGATCACCGCGGATCTTTCGCTGTTCGGTGTTCAGGCCGCCATTGCGTCACCGTGCGCCGAACAAGGCGACGCTGCTTTTCGGAGAGCGACGAAAATGGTAGCGTGGATCGCGTCAGGTGCAATTAGTCGCCGAGTCGGTCTCTCGTTACCGGTAATAGAAGAGAGATCGAGACGAGAAGATGGATCTACGAGGATCGCTTTGATCCAGCCGAGCCGCGTTTTTCTGGAATCGTATGGAAGACATATTGTTCCTTATTGCTTCCTCGCCGGGATTCGCTTTTTCGAGTCAACTCCTCGACAGGGCTTAATGGGCACGATCCACCGGTGCGATCGAGCACGATCGATTCTCATCGTTCGTTTCTCGGAGCGCCGACGCCGCGAACTCGCGGGGAAATTGATTATCCGGCCGAACGGAGGCCGTGTAATCGAGGGAGGGATTCACGGGGGGTGCCGGCGTCCGGACCCCCGCGATTCCATTGAAATTCGGCCGATCGATGGATCCGTATCCGGCGCGATCGCGATCGCAGCTTTCGGTGGCCTGGCAATTTGAATAAATAGATTCCAAGAGGCTCCCGCGACCGCGTCGAACAACTCCGATAGAGAAACGACTAAAAAGCGAACAGGTAATCGTAAATTGCCCTCCGTTCGTGCTCCATGGAAATCGAGAGCACCGAAGCCACGCCCACCGCGAGCCGGCTCCGCCCACTCGGCGCATGCAGAGCGAGATACACGATCGTCTGTCACCATCGATGAAAGATCGAGAGTCGTTTCCACCTCCGACGACGACATTGGCCCTGCGTCCTCGCCCCTTGGGCAGTCTGGAGCACTGCGAGCTCCGTGTTGTTTACTCCTTGTTGCTCCCGGAGCGAGCCGGAGTGTCCCCGGGGCAAGGAACCCTCGCGCCCCGGCGCGCCGGGCCTGGGAACGGCGGCTTCGTCCGAAAACAGTTTCCCTCGGATCCAGGTTGGCTAGAGCCAGCGGCGGTGCTGGTTTTCGTGTCGATCTTCCCCGGCATTCCTCGGTTCTCGGTTCGGATTCCTTGCACGTGGGTAGGAGAATCGAGGAAAGAGAAGGTGAAATTCGAGCTAACTTGTTCACTCTCGTTGCCGCGCGTGTTTCGTATTCCCCGGGAACGCTTACGGAACCTATGAGAAGGTAACTGTTAGGACGCTCTAAGAGCTAGAATTATAGAGCCGACTCCGGTACTTTTATTTCCCCGGTGGGTGGGGAACGCCGTGCACCGCGTGCACCGCTCGTACGCGTATTCGTGCGGTCGTGCTTGCGCACATCCTCCGGCTGGTCGTGAGAGACGACTAAAAAGGGGGGTGGAGCTGCGGACAGCCCGGCTACCTCGATAAAGATACCAGGCCTCGCCGACGATTTCAGGCGATCAGGCGACGACGAACAAAACTGGAATGGCCGGGGTGCGAGGCCGACACTGTGTAGGCCATAGAACATATCGCGTCGGATTCGATGGTTTTCGCTCCCCGCTACCCTGTGTTCGACATCACGGCCAAGCCGCGCCGCGCCGGGGGAAATGAAAAACCCGGAGATCGAGCGTGACGCAAGAAATGCGTCCAATCACGGAATAAATCGAGCCGTCCGATTAAAATGAACCGGCCAGGCCGCAAGAGCACCGCGGCGAGATGGAAACGCCGATAATCTCGCGGTTTCGACGGATCCGCGCGTGTGCCCTCTCGCCTCTCCTTCGACCGTGGCTTCCACCGAAAGCGCGATCCTCCGAAGGAAGTCGATTAGCTAATGCGACTGCGAAAAAATCGCTCGACACTCTCGCTCTTGTTTTACCGGAGCACTCAACCGATCCACCCTCTGGATAATGCTGCTTCGTTCCACTCGACTTTGTTTCTTTACTTAAGGCGAGTGTCCGTCTGAGAGCCCGCGTCTTGCCTAGCTGTGCCGTGGAGTCTCGGGGCACCCTAGTACAACTCGAGGCTCTAGGCAACACGCTAGAGGAATAAAGGGCCTGGTGGGCCCCGCATATGCGAAACTACAGGATGTCCCAAAATTATTGTACAAGCGGGAAGCGAGGTTTTTCTTAGGTCATTCGAAGTTGACGCAAAACGACAGAACCAACAAACGGTCGAAGCCCAGTTTTGCTCAACGCTGCATCGCGCCAGCTGATCTCGCCTCTCATTGGTCCCTGTTTCTCGTTGATAACTCGTAAACGAAGCCGCGGATTGCACTTTCGCTAAGGAAAAAGTTACTTGAAACGAGCTCAGGAACCCTTCGTTTCTCGCTTGTACAATAATTTTGGGACACTCTGTACACAGAGCAACTGTCCAGAGTTTGACTCTCGGATGGACAGCCGGCTTTAGTCCCGACCGCAGCTAGATCTCCAGCGATGCAATTAAGAGTCTCATTTCCTGGGCCTAGTTTCGAAAAGGATTAATACTTGCGCTCAATTATAAGAGTAATTAACAGAGAAATATCGGGAATGCAGCTGCGTGTCCATCTGTTTCGCATCCTCTCGTATCGTATCGTTCCGGCGCATCGGAATGGACAAGCGTTGCATCGTTCCGTAGATCGTTCGCGAGCCGTGCGCGTATTGTGCACGGCTACGCACGCAATTATGACGCGCAACAGACGCGATGCGAGGATAGGAAACAAATGGATCCGTAGCTTCAGGTGCGAACGATGCGAGGAAACAAATGTACGGAAAATCGCGAATCGTAGGCTTGGAATTGCAGCCGGAGGCCAGGCACGGGAGAAATTCGAAGCAATTAAGAGGAAACGAGCGAGCGATAATGGATCTGACCGTAACAATAAGAAGAGGAGGAACAATAATATTCTCGCGGGAAAGGGGTTCCGCCGAGAGAGCCAGGAGGCTCGTATCTCGTGCGTTTCGCGATCCGTAGAAACACGTGGCCAGGAATGAGGAATAACGAGAGTACCAAGGGTCGGTCAGTGACGTATCCGCGGAGCTGGAGGCCCTGCTCGATGTGCACGCGTCTTCTCGCCGCCGCCACCGCCGCCGCCGCGCGATCGCAACGAGAGAAAACGGCGAACGAACGGCCGTGTATAGCTCGCGTGACGCTTCGCGCTGTCCCGAGGCGTTATTAACTCGCTATCATTTCGGCGTTGCGAGCCGCGGAGCCGCGCGGCGGAGATTTACGGTTTCCCGAAGCCGCGCTGTCGCGATCGTGTGTTCGTCCGCGCTCGAAAAAAAAAGGAAGAAATCGCAACCGAGATTCGCGTGAGCGTTGACTCGAACAACGGTCCGTCCCGATAATTCCGGACAATCGAAGGCGGAAGGAGCGATTCTCGATTTATTAAGACCGGCACGGTTCGTTTCCACAGCTGGTTTCGCGCGAACGGTAGGAACGCCGATGCGTCACCGAGCCGCGCAGCTTTCTCGAAGCCGAGCGGAGGTCGCCGTCGCATTTAATTGCAAGGCATCGCCTCGACGACCACTCTCGTATGCAAACCAAGTATTCGCGGAAAAGTGAATCGAGTGGGTGTCCGGCCAGTGTCGTAGCCGATCCGACGCGGGACCCCGAGATAAACGCGCGTCTCCGAAAGAAGTCGCCCGTTTCGGGCAGAACGTGTCCGTTCACCGGCGAGACAAAAAGGACGATGACGTCGAGGACGAGAACGAAGGGGCAGGGGGAACGCGGGGCGACGCGTCGCGTCGGCCCTGGGCAAGGAGGACGCGGAGGACGCGGAGAATGCGAGAGTGTCCGCAGGAATGGGAATCGGATGGTGGGAGTGAGAGTGGGAGTGAGGAATCGACTGGGAGAGGCCATAGGAAAACCGGTTGCCAATCTGCGCGGACGTTGGACATCGGCGAGAGGAGAGCAGCAGGAGAAAACGCCAAAAAAGAGCGGCACTCCGGTTTTCAGCAAACCCAACCCAGACCTATCCGCCGGCCCATTTTCATCGATTTTTGCTCGGTATCATCGTGAACCAACAGGGAGAAGTAATTGCGTGCCGCGAAGCCGGCCGTGCTCCGAGGAAATTCAGAGCGCAAAATAGAGGTGCGCGGGGATCGTTAAATCTCATGAAAAATCCGAACGATCCTTGTCGTTGATGCCCGCTGAAATTGAGACGCTACTCTCGCCTGGGAGGTCCGACGTTCTCCGGATCTTCCATCGCCCGCGATTACTATCATTCGCGCACCAAACTCGTCTCAACGAACGGAATTACCGTGACCGAGTGCACGCAAAGNATCCGCGGAGCTGGAGGCCCTGCTCGATGTGCACGCGTCTTCTCGCCGCCGCCACCGCCGCCGCCGCGCGATCGCAACGAGAGAAAACGGCGAACGAACGGCCGTGTATAGCTCGCGTGACGCTTCGCGCTGTCCCGAGGCGTTATTAACTCGCTATCATTTCGGCGTTGCGA